CTACACCACCCCCCACCCCCCGCCGTCCCCCATAGTTCCCTGGCCATTGGGGAATTTTTGAGAGACTGAGTATAAGTGAGAGGTAGCAGGACGCAGTTATAATTTGAAGAAAGAGAACTTTACTGGTATAGATAAGGTTAAAAAATGCAGAACAATGTTTTTGCCAATCACACCCAGGGTTTCTCTTTATTAAAGAGATAATGATAAATAGTAGTCTTGATGGTCTAAGGACTAAAGTGCTGATGCCCATTTTCCAACAGTGTTCTTTTAAATATTCTAAAAATATTGCCTGTCTATTATTTTATGTCTCTGGGCCAACATAGTCTTTGGACTACTTCTCCAACAGGGTAGATATGAATCCAAGATACAGAATCTTAGATTCTAAATTCTGAATTCTGCCTTTGCCTTTTCTGGAGGGTTATGCAGTGGGTGGGGAGACAAAAGTTCTTGAAGTCTCCTGCCCCGGGGGAGAGTGGGGCCCTGGGCTGGGGTCGGAAGCGAGGGTGTGGGTGGGGGTGACTGATGGGGTGGAGGGTATGTCCTCAGAATCCACTTTGATTAACCCTTTGCGAACCAAGGCAGGCTAGTTACGGGGTCCAGTTTGGGGGCGCTCAAGGCGTCTCTCCTAATCTGACTAGAGACGGAGGACATCACACACTAGGGACGCCCAACACTGAGGTCCTGTGCCCGCTCCCACATAGCCGTGCGCAAAAGCACAAAAACTCCTTATGCAGATTTTGAAACGGAATTTAAACTCCACTCGGACTGTCCTACAATAATCCACATTTAGGGGTGAAAATGCACTGTCCCTGGGGACTGCGGGAGAATGTGCTCCCGTGCCCCATATTGATTTCCCACGAAAGCTCCCGCTCCCGCTCGCCGAGGTGTGGGTGTGGGCTCCACCTTCCCACCACGAGGTAACCGTGAACGCAGGCTTCTCGCTGGCAACCCCCGCGGGGGAGTTTTGCACACTTGGAGGAGTGCACGCAGGCTGCCAAGTGCCCAGGCTTGGAGCCCCGCATGGACTCAAGGCAGGTTCGCTTTAGCTTCCCAGTTTACTTTCCGAATTTCCAATATCGGAGTTCAAACGCACACCCC